TTTATCAAGATATTCGTTACATACCCGGTTCATTAAATCCATGAAGGCCCCTGGTGCATTTGTTAGACCGAATGGCATGACCAAAAACTCATGATGTCTGTACTTGTTCATAATGCTGTTTTGGCAATATCTTTGTTTCTGACGTTCAGCTGATGATACCTTGACCGTAAATCAATTTTGAGAAAGGGACTTGTCCAACCAATTGATCAAACAAATCATCAATTCTTGGCGAAGGATATTTGTTTTTTAACATCAGCTTATTCAGTTCTCGAATATTAATGCACAACCTCGTCGTCCCATCTTTCTTTTTAACAAATAACATTAGAGCACCTTAAGGAGAAGTACTCGGTCAAATGAAGCTCTTATCAAGCAATTCTTTCAATTAGATCACTAGCTCTTTTAATTATGAAGGTGTCAAACGATTTGGAGCTTTGGCTACTGGTGCTGCCTCAAACGTCAAATCAATTCTGAACTCCATGGACCAATCAGGTGGTAAACTATTTAAATCTTCTGGAAAAACCTCAGGATATTCACAGACAACATAAATAGACTCTTGTTTACCCCTTTATTTATTTGAATCAACCACATAAGCCAGAAAACCTTGACACCCTTTCTAAACACATTTTCTAGCTTTCATGACAGATATCAGGCTGTTGTAATGATCATGTCGATCATCATAAATCACAATCGGCACTTTCCCCGGTAAATCAATACTGGTCATCTTTTTGTTGCACATATTCTTCTAACTAATCCATGTCCACGACAACATCAAACTCTCTCATTGGCATTGGGAACAAACGAATTGGTAACCCACACCCCTCAATCTCAATTTAACAATCATCAAAAACACGAGTAACGATTACTTGACTATTATTAGCAGTATCAACTATTTAAGTATAGTCAAGAGGCACATAATTCACGCATAGACATCCAACAAATAAAGGTAATACAAATGAATAATTACCACCAGAATCAAATAGCACATTGGCATATACAGAGTTGATAAGAAAGGTACATGCTACCACATCGGGGGTTTCCTCTGCCTCTCCCTTTATTATTTGAAAAGATCGGCCCCTCGCCCTATCCAATTCACCACTTCGGATGTTGACTTTCCCACGCGTACTCTGAGTATTTCCATCCAAAGTCAATCTTGGAGCATTTAACTCGGGACCATCTAGCTTGATATGATCGGGGGAATTACAATGAAAACATCGCTGAGGAATCCGACAATTTCTTGACATGTGCCTCGGCTCCGCATAATGTTGGGTACCAAAATCCCTTAAACTCAGAATTTGATATCAAACTTGTAACACCCAAGATCACATTTGCATATAAACATATGTTTCCACATATCAAGAAATATAATTTACACATTCGGTCCCAATATATACAGAAGCTACATTACAAAGTAGCTAATAACTTTTTTCACAAAATCTCTATACAAAACTTGTAATATAACAGGTTCTCAAATACAAAAGACAACATGATATCCTTAATATTCCATGCAGGCAAATATAATTTTTCACAATTTCCCCTTTCCCTTATCCTCTAGTTGAGTTCGACCTGTAATGCACATTTTTCCAAAACACCAAAATAAGGATTAAACCTTGAGATATAGTGAGAAATCCATTTGATCCTATCATAGGGTGAATAATCACCAAATCACATTTATGAACTCATATTTCTATTCAATAACAAATAAACAATACTTTAATAAAACAAACTTCTTTTATCGCATCCAAATAGCCAAATAACTTAATAAACACACTCTGAATAAACTTATCGCATCATATAGATGAATATATAACTTTTTCGCATCACATAGGTGAGACAACCCCATCTCCTTGCAACACACTGGTGCGAGGACCTCATCTCATCACATCACATCATACTGGTGTGATAAATCCAACTTGTCGCATCACATAGGTGCCATAAGTCAATTTGTTGCATCACAAGAATGAGACAAACTCACTCCTCACATCATATAGGTGCGAGAACCACAATTCATCGTACCAACAGTATGCGATAACTTTAAGTCATCACATCACACAGATGCGAAAAACTCCAAGTCATCACATTATAAGGATGCGATAACAAATAATACTTTGATCAAAAACCTAGATGTTATATCTCAATGATTATGCCACCCTTATCTTCGTATACACCTCTTTTTGATATGCCACCCCTATCCCATTATACACCTCTCCTTGATATGTCACCCTTATAACCAAAATACACCTCTTCTTGACATGTCATTCTGTTGGTCCCAAAAGGGTCTACAAGAATACTAAACAGTTTGTAGAAGGGGGGGATGAATACAAACACAATTTTCAAATTTAAAATATATATTGATAGAGAAGATCAATAGAGATTTTACAAGATTGTTTGCGGAAAGATAAGGTA